CTTCTTCTTCTTCTTCTTCTTCTTCTTCTTCTTCTTCTTCTTCTTCTCCTTCTTCTTCTTCTTCTTCTTCTTCCATGGCCTCAGAAGATAGAACTAGGAGTAGGTGGAAGTTGCAAAGAGGTAAATAAGGAAGAAAGATCCTAATAATTGGAGATGTAATGGTTTGCTTTCAGAGAGAGACTGAAGATTCCCCCTCCCTGGAGGTCTTGAAGCAGAGACAAGATGCCCCTAGATTTGTGTATTATATGGGTTGGGGGAGGTTCTTGTTCTGATGTAAGTAATACTAGATGGTTCTTTCAGCTCAGAGGTTTAATGACTCTGTGATTGCTTTCTGGGACTGCAAGAAATGGCTGGGTCCTTCAGGGAAGAGGTGCTGAAGGAGAGAAAAAAGAAATACAGAATGAGAGGATGGATCTGCAAAAAGGCTAGATAACAAGAGAAATTTCCTAACAAGAACAGCTGTCCCAATGTGGAATAGATTGCCTTGGAAGGTGGTAGCTGCTCTTTCACTGGAGTTGGGAGAAAGTAGGAAGGAAATTGGCATCTAGTAAGCACCTACTATGCTCCAGGCACTGTTTTAAGCCCTTTACAAATATCTTATTTGCTCCTCACAACAACCCTGGGAGGTAGATGCTATAATTATACCCATTTTACAGATGAGGAAACTGAGACAAACAGGTTAAGTCACTTGATCAGCAGGTGTCTGAGGCTAGATTCAAACTCAGATCTTCCTGACACTAATCCTTATACTTTGCTCTCTGCCTCAAATAGAGGTTAAATGACCATTTGTTGGTCATATTGTATTACCTTACATTTATCTGTCTATGTATGCGTTTTCTTCCTCCTCCTCCAAAGAAAGTAAATTCCTTGAAGGTGGGTACTGATTCACTTTTTAATTTGTGTCAGCACTTAGCACAGCATCTGGAACACAGTGGATGCTTAATAAATGCAGGTTGACGTGAACTGGAGGGCACTCTAGGAAATATCCCCTTTGTTCTTAGCACCTTCTTATCAAGGTTATTCATTACAAAGAGCACTCAATTCTCGGAGTGGCCTTTTGCTGTAGAATGAAATTTGTAGAACTATCTATTTTATAATTGTTCTTTAGGCTGAGAAACTTTCCAGACATTTTACTAAAAAGATAACAACCCAGATATGTTCATCAATCAGTCAAGAATGAAAAACAAATGGTGAAAAATAATGCTGAACATGTATCAGAAGGGTGTCATCCCTGTAGTTTATCTGTACATTTTTCCTAGTCTGGACCTTTGACTCAATGGTTTTGGGGACCTCCCACTGAGGAAATTCACTCTACCAGTACATAATGGCACTCTCTTTACCACTCATAGTCTTAGAGAATTTCTCAGAGAATTGAAAGGTTAACTGACTTGCCCAGGGTTGCAAAGACAGTCTATTTCTGAGGAAGGATTTGAACCCAGGGCTTCCTGACCCCAAGGTCTCTCTCAGTCCACACATCACACTGCCTTTCTGTCGAATGCCACATACTTATTCAGGGATGCAATGATTGCAAACAAGTGACCTGTTTCCTCCACATATATAATATCTTAGAGTCATGCTATCCAAAGGGTATCCTGGAAGTAAGCTGGACAGTGAGCGGATCCACTCTGGGTATCTGAAAAGAGACATTGGCTTTGGGTAGGAGCCCATGCACTGGCCAAGGTGCTGAAGGCTGGTCAAAAATATTCATGGCTAAGAAAGCCTTTGGAATCAGCCAGGGATTTGGAGTCCTAGGTCATCTGGATTACATTGTAAACTTATAAACAATTATTTGGCTAAGGGATACTCATGTTTTAATGTTGACACTGACATCTTCAAATCAAATGTAACTGCTGTGAAATTCTAAATCTGCTCCATATCTCTGATAGAGAAAAAATTGTTTCCCTTTACTCTCCTACTTTTTCTTTAAATGATTTGTGATTTTATCATGGGTATAGGCAGCACTGACACACATTATATACCCTCCATTCCTCAGCAAACAGCTTTACTGAGTGGCTGGGGCCCTCCAACTTCATCTCTGTAGATTAAATTCTCTCAATTTTCTAGGATTACCCTTAGGCATTAATAAAAAAAAATAGGCATTAACTATATGCCAGGCATTGTGCCAAGTGCTGGCATACAAAGAAAGGCTAAAACATTGACCCTGTCCTCAAGGAGCTCTCATTTTAAGGGGGCAGGGGAAGAGATGTAAGGCCCAGTGGATAGAGCTCTGGACTTGGAGTCAGGAGGACCTGAGTTCAAATCTGGTCTCAGACCAAACACTTGACACTTACCAGCTGTGTGACCCTGGGCAAGTCACTTAACCCCAATTGCCTTAAAAAAATTTTTTTAAAAAAAGGAAAGAGATGTAAATAGCTATGTGTTGTTCAGTCGTGTCCAACTCTTCATGACTCCTTTGGGGGTTTTCTTGGCAAAGATGCTGGAGTGGTTTGCCATTTCCTTCTCCAGCTCATTTTTACAGATGAGGAAAGTGAGGCAAATAGGGTTAACTGACTTGCATAAAGTCACACATCTAGTAAGTGTCTGAGGCCAGATTTGGACTCAGGAAGATGAGTGCCCAAGTAGGGCGCCCTATCCACTGGGCCACCTAGCAGCAAATAGCTATGTACATACAAGATATGTGAGGCCCAGTTAGAGTAGATGTTCTCAGTCTTTCTCACACCACATCCACTCAGTTGCAAAATCTCATGTCTACTTGCACTATGCCTCTTAAATCCAATCCCTGCTAACTACTCACAGAGCCACCACCTTAGTCCTGAACCTCACCACCTCTAGCCTAGACCATTCCAAAGGCCTTCTAATTGGTCTCCCAGCCTTTTCTTTCCCTACTCTATTCTTTTCTTTCCCTACTCCATTCTTTTCTTTCCCTACTCTATTCTTTTCTTTCCCTACTCTATTCTTTTCTTTCCCTACTCCATTCTTTTCTTTCCCTACTCCATTCTTTTCTTTCCCTACTCCATTCCATCCTCCAAATGGGTACCAAAGAGATTTTCCTTAAGGATAAATCTGACCATGTTACTCCTCTACCCAACATATCCAGGGTCCTTGTTGCTTCTAGGACAAATTCCTCTGTTTAGAATTTAAAGTGCTTCATAACTTAGTCCCAACCCACCTTTCCAGCCTCTCTATATACGTCAATCCTCTTCTTGAACTCTACAACTCAGTCAAGTTGGCTTGTGTGTTGTTCTCATACACAACACTCTATCTCTCATCTCTCCGCATTTGTACTGGGCCTCTCCCAAGTCTGGAATGCTCTCCTTCCACACCTCCACCTCTTAGAATCTCTTTCACCCATTAAGATTCAACTCAAGCATTACTTTCACTCAGGACCTTTCTTAATCCCCTCCCCGCAACCCAGGTACTACAGCCCTGCCTTTCGAAATTATTCTGTATTTATTTTTTTAATGGTATACCTATCAGTCAATTCATTAGATTTGCAATATAAAATGGATGATGATGAACT